GAGAGAAGGAAGACAGGATAAAGACATGCTGTGGAAGAGAGACAGAGATTAATAACAGGTACGAGTCAATGTAGAGCAGTCTATTAACACATAGTGAGTGAGAAAAGTGACTGGAAAGGAAAAACTCAATGCATCATGGGAATCCCCGGCAGCCTACATCTATTGCAGCATAACTAAGGGAGGATTGTGTCAGCCAGGTCTTTTATCTGTCGGTTGTACTTACCTGGCGGGGGTCTGTCCTTCTGTGACGGTTCCTCTTCTTGCTCCTCTTGCTTCTTTGGTTTATGCTTCCTGAGATATTCACTAAGCATATGATCATTTGTGGCCATTCCAATTCTCTGTCCAGAACACAGTTCCAAGTACTGTGGTAGAGGACCTAAACTTGAAGAACAGAGACCAACCATAGGGCGAGTGGGAAATATAAAGATTAAAGAAAAATATAACCAACATAAAAAAATCACAGACCTTAAATCATACATGCAATCTATGATTGAAGCTGCTTTTTCAGTGATGTATTTGGTTTATTTTTAGATTAGAAGCTGAATTTTTTTCGGCATCTATCACCATGCATAAAAAGCCTTGAATATGCTGCAACAGCTTCAAATCTTTAAACAAATGTACTCTGACAGAGTATTGAGTAATTCCATTACCTAAAATGCCATTGTACCTGCACCTCTTTCCATTCCAATTTTTTCCTTGGTCCCATCATGCATACCCTATGTTGTAGGCCTTCTGCACTATATATTTTACCATTGGGGCGATCGTGGCTCAAGAGTTTGCAGTTCGTCTTGTAATCGGAAGGTTGCTGGTTTGAGTCCCGACTCGGACAGTCTCGGTCGTTGTGTCCTTGGGCAAGACACTTCACCTGTTACCTACTGGTGGTGGTCAGAGGGCCCGGTGGCGCCAGTGTCAGCTGTGACTACAATGCAGCTTGCCATCACCTGTGTGTGCGAATAGGTGGATGACTGAATGTATTGTAAGGTGCTTTGGGGCCCTTAGGGACTAAGTAATACAGACCATTTACCATTTATGACAACTTTGGGATGAGATGGTGTCTGGTGATTGGAGGAGGCTACAAAAGAGGTTGCCCACAGGGAAAACAGCCTTGTTCTTTTAACCATTACATTTGGATAAGGCAAGTGCTCTGAAACCCATTTTGCTTTCTCTTTCCTTCTTTTGCAGAGGTCTTTCTGCAGTGCCATGGTGGAAGAACTGCGAGTCTCCCTCAAGTGCCAGCGCCGACTCAAACACAAGCCCCAGCGACCCATAATGGTGAAAACAGAAGAGGTTATCAACATGCACACCTTCAACGACCGAAGACTGCCAGGCAAAGAGACCATGGCCTAAAATGGGAATCTCAGTCCATCTCTTACCGTTTTTCTGGTAGTGAGACGGAGTGCAGAGACATTGGGGAAAAGGTTGCGGGTAAATGGTAGGGGTGTTGCTCGGGGGGCAAATTTGGCAGTTGTATTACTCTGAAGATAGAGCAGAAGTGCTTTGCAATATATTGACGACATATTGTTCTTGTTTCTTTATAATTAGCTAGGGATAAGAGATTCTACAATATTTCCTGTGGAAATAACTTGATTCTGGGTGAAATTTCAGCGTGTTACCTCATTACACTTACCAACTTGGCAAGGCAGAAAGACGGAAAACTATCAGCTTGTCCAGACTTCCAAAACCCAGATGTTGAGAAGAGTCTGGAAATTAACCTGAAGGGGGACAGAAGAATCCTTTTAAAAACTGGTCCTATCATCTTTAGCTGCTACTTATTTAGTCTTTCACCACAGAGCTCAAAATGGGCTGGTTAAACAACACCAATAACAGATTGTGAGCCAGTATAGAGATGTTAACTAGGTGAACAAGGAACTAAGTTTGTAGAATAAGATTTGACAGGCTAAATTAAACCCAAACCAAGAGCATGACGAGATTACAATGTACACAGAGGCATTCCTTAGTCACGATACCGATTGACACAAAAAATGGTTTTATTGTATATCATCTATCAGGCAATAAGCGATATCATGTATTTATTTTTCAGAGTACTAGCACTTTTGTTTTCTAATCTGCTGGTGGAGGTGACTTTTAGCAACTATATGGAGAAATTGCAGAAGTAGAGGTTATACAGTATAGTGAGCTTTCTATGTCCCTTTCCAGAAACTCCTCTATGAAGGTGGAGTAACTTGTTTTCCAACATCCCATGCTCCCTTTGATTCGACCAGCCTTTAAACCATAGGCTGCTGTTCTAAACAAGTGTAGTTTTTTTCTTGAATTGTGGCTAAAGATGATTAGCCGTATAACATAAAATAATAATAATAATAATAATAATAATAATAATAATATTCTAGTAAGTTTGGCTAGTAAGAATGACAAACCATGTACTTTCAGTTTGATGTCTATTCTCTACTGGTGTAGAGGTGTTTCATTTAGATGACCCAGTATCTGTAAAATATTGTCTTGTATATTTTTTTTGCTTGGTTGTAATTTCCACGGTCACACAGCACACAGTGGTGTACTCCCACTAGAGTGGAACCTGCCGTGTTTTCATTGGAGGCATCCACTGACTGTCTGAAAACACCTCCAACATCAATAAAAAGAAACCCTGGAAAGGTGTGGGCACGGCTCATCAAGTCTAAATCCACAGCAGTCACACCACACATAAATTCTATTTATTCAAGATATTTATTGTTTTTATTTATTAATTATTATTTTATAAAGATCTTTATTTATATCTCTTTGGACTGATTTTTCATTGCTGCAGTGAACACACTTCATTTGAACACTGTATGGGGACACACACTTTTTGCATTTTTGTTTGTTTGTTTTTTGTGTTATTTTCTTTATTCTTATTTTATTTCACTGGTCAGTGGCATGGCCTCCATTTTAACTTTGTACCTTTGTGGCTTTCTTCCTTTCACAGCAAATCTCCACAGTTACTTGTGCAAATGCAATTTCTATGAAAAAAGTGTTTTTGTATGACAAGTATCAAAATTTTGTAATGATTTTTACCAACACAAACCACACTAAGAGGAGTGTCATCCACGGCCAAGGGGTGAAGCTCCCGGCTGGTAGTTCAGGAGGCTTTGTACACTAGAAAAGAACCAACACCAAACAAACACACATCTAGACCCCTAAGAGCCCATCATGCACCCATCCTCAACGGATTCGCACTAATTATTATTATGCTCTCCAACAGAGACACAGAGCATTATGGCAAAGCTTCAGTGACACTGTATTATTTTGGAGAAGCAGAAAATAAACTATTTTTATCATGTAAAGGAATCATATTTACAGAAAGATATTTTTACTTCACACAGAAGAAGAATGGTGGTTGGTAAGAGCAAATTAAAATGTTGGCTAAAAAGGAAGATTATTGATGATTCTTTTATTCTACACCCCTGATTAATTATAGATTGCTAGAATCCAGTGCTGAGCAATTGTGTGTAAATGGTTTTAAAAAGGAAAAGATGTATTTAGAAGAATTATAAAGACAACTAAATAATTTTGAACCTGTTATAAAAACAAGATGCAGTGCACACAGTTTACCCTTTGAAGTTGATGCACAAGTTTAAAGAAAATAAAACAAAATGTGTTCATAACTTTGACCTTGTCTGTGAGTTTATTGAATGTTAATTGATGAATAAAACAGGGCAGGAGCTCGACAGAAATGCCACTGCACAGTGTGAAGTCAATGTAAAAAAAATGATCATGTGGTATTGAAGCTGCGTCTTATTTTCAATAACCCCACTTGGCAGACTTGTTAAAGATGCAGAGGAACACCTGTACTATATTCAACAACCTACATGTAAAAGGAAGTACCTCTTTGTGAAGTAACGGCTCGTCAATGAAGCAGCATCCTCTGAGATACTGCTGTCACTGGTTATACCAGAGGTTCCCAAAGTGTGGGGCCCAGCCATTGCAGGGTGTGTGTGTGTGTGTGTGTGGGAGAGGGGGGGAGGGGGGGTATGAAAAGGAAAAAAAATGCTTGGACACTGCTAACATGGACAGGTTTTTGACGGGGTGCCCACACAATCGCAAAGCAGGAGATGAAGCATCGCTGAATATGTTTCCAAACCAACTTCATTCTGAGCCAAAGACTAGAAAATATGATGAAGCAAATCTTCCCTTTGGCTTCACCTGCACAAGTGCCGAGGTAGGTCTCCCTGCAGGATTGGTTTTCCCTGCGTCGGCAGCACGTGCTGGGCTCTCCAAATCACGGAAAAACAGGATCCCTTGATTCCCAGGGTCCTTCTTGATTTTTAGTTCACAAACACTTCTTGTAATGACTAACTGCTCCTGACATTTTGGAGATGTTAGCTCTTTATACAGTAAAGTTACAGCTGGATACAAATAACATCAGGCTGATCCTGCCACGATTTGTTCCCCCGGTTCAAATCACGGACAAACAGGATCCCACAGTTGTTTATGTTTTTGAACCCATTTTGCACAGAGAGGCATTTTTTGAAAAATGTATTGATAGCAATGTTGAATATTATTAGCAGCAGCCCAAGCAAAGAAGCCCAGACCTCCCTCTCCCCAGCCACCTACTCCAGCTTATCCGGGGGAACACCAAGGTGTTCCCAGGCCAGCCGAGAGATATAATCTCTCCAGCGGGGGGGAACAACTACACCATGACGCCTCTGCCTTTCTAAATAGAGGGACAGTAACTGCGTGTAAAACCTGCAGATAGTCAGATTAACAGTATTTTGTCTCTACCTGCCATTCTGCAGTTCATCTCATGTAAACAATAACCTGGCTTACAGCGTGACGTGAAAAAAGTCACATACCTTTGACGTTGTAAACGTAAACGTAAAAGAGGAGTTTTAAAAAATCTCAGTTTTCGGTGATTCGAAACGCCGTTTACGTGTGGACGAAACAGCTGCGTTTTCAAAAATACCCATGTAAGTGTGGACGTAGCGTAAAAAGAGTTAGTAATTTATTTTATTACTACCTGTAATTTATTGCAGATTACTTTTATTTGCTTAATTGTTTACTAAATGTTTGAGGTGTGAAATAAACTGCAATGGAGTTTGACAACAAAATATGGGTGTGTGTGGTTGGAGGATGTGTAAAACAAAGGGGGCCTAACAAAAAACGTTTGGGAACCACTGGGTTATACCATTGTGATTTGTATAAGGGACAAGAGACCATTCTTGAAATTTTGGTTACAGTATTGTATCTTATGTAAGTGTTAATCCACTTGTAACGTTGGGTTGTGTTCAGTGGTTGAGAGGAGGCGGCAGAAACCTTAGCAGGATAGTAGGAAGAATACACGATCACACTGGCAGTGGGAATCTCACCGCGTATCCTTTAATGCACCTTCTCTTCATCAACCATACAAGGCCCGGTTGAACGGCTGCTGCTTATCAAACATGACAGACAGTGTTCATACAACCTGTAACGTTGCAAAGGGTTTCTGGAGGGATAAAACATATGAAGTCCGTCTCTCTCCATGTATTCACGTGCAAGCCTGTTGCTTCCATAAATCACAGAGAGGGCAGTGGCGCACACTAATGACATCATAAACCCTTGACTTATGTTACATTAAAGAGACACCACACCATTGTGACTATTACATACTGAGTGGAAAAGCTACTTCTAAATCGATTTCTGATAGTGTTCTTTGTAAAACCTTGTAAATTAAAGCTGAACAAAGAACCATGAGGTCCAATTCAAAACTAATGTTATCCATCCCACAGTCTGAACTCTGTGATGACAGAGCCTTCTTAAAATAAATAAATAAATAAATCCCCTCTCACCTCTGTGGGCGGTCTTTATCCTTCAAGCTCGGGTCCTCTAACAGTATCTTTGCTGTTCCTAGGAATGTCCAGAAGAGGGAGGAGAGCTCAGATCAGTGGCGGAGCAGGGGGGGGTGGCTTACTGGGCTTAAGCCCGGGTTGTTTTTTCAGAAGCCCGGGGTCTTTTGGAGTGTAATTTTTTCATAGTTAGATGATTGACTGACAACTGTATAAAACAAAACCTACACACAATATTCGAAGCACATAGCGAACACGGGAATTTACGACTGTGCGTAAATCCCCCCTAATATTGGTATGATCCGAGCTCAGACACTAAGCGACTGAGCGAGGGGGCCGGGGCAGCGGCTGTCTGTTGGAGAAGTGATGCCAGGCAGACAGAGGAGAGCTGAAGTTCGATCAGGTACCAAAGCAAATCATTCGTACTGTACAAATAATGTAAATATGACGGTGAATCACGAAAGATTG